GCCATGCACTAAGCCTATCTTATTTCATGACTGATATTTATAACTTCTTTAGAGTTATTCTTAGTGTCAGAAAAAGCAACAAACCATGTTAAAAGATCCACAATCAAGGTAATGTTCTTCAGAAATACTAAGTTGCACCCAAAATGTAGGCTTGCTTTAAGTGCAGTAACTTCTGATGTTTCACAAAATTTTGTTTCAAATGTAAAACACTTCCTTAATATCTTTTCAATCTTAGTACTTAGGTCAAAATATCAAATTCTAAATACAGAAATATCTTTAAGTGATCTTATATGTAAACTAGCACTAACAAGCCTGGCTAGAGCTTGAATACCTAATCCAAATACCACTATATTAATTTACAGTATGATAAATTCGGAAACAGTTGACCTGGTACCTGCTTTAACAATGTAATTCTGCATTTTTTCCATGCTTCGTTCACACCAAGTTTCTTTTTACAGATTCTGGGTTCTGCCTTTATATTTTACTGTAATTCGCGTAGGGTTGATCCAATCTGTTAAAACCAACATCTGGATTTGCTATTTTGGATTTTGAAAGACAAATATGCTAAGACAAATAGTGTTTTTTTTAATGCAACAAACCAAACAAAACACTATTATTTATGCTAAATGTATAATATTTAACAATTTACTTCTTGCAGTTGAATTGGCAATGATTATGGACCGTTTATATGGAGGTGTCTGCTATGCTGGCATTGATACAGACCCAGAGTTGAAGTATCCGAAAGGTGCTGGCAGAGTGGCTTTCTCCAATCAGCAGAGCTATATTGCTGCTATCAGTGCTCGCTTTGTCCAGCTCCAACATAATGACATTGATAAACGGGTAAGTAAAAGAGCATGGAACAGAATGGTTGTTACACACAGAACTGTAGAGAAATTAAAATCATCCCTATGTTAATATTGTGTTGGAGAACACTGTAACCTCTGTTCTTCAGATGACAGTTGTTAATTATTGAAAAGCTTATTTAAGCAGCTAAAGCAGAGTGGAAAAAATGAATCTTAAACATCTTAAATAACTCTTTGGTTCTAAAACTAGAAAATAATTTGTTGTAAGCTCGTTTGTTCTTGGTTTTGTTTTGAATTCTGAAGGTCAAACACTGTAGAATTTCCCAGCTTCTTTCTCTTCCTTCAGATGCTCACTCGTTGTGCATCAACAGCTTTTAGTTAGTGGCTACTTATATAGCTTCTGGCATTTCTGCTATTATTAGGCAACATTTCTCCAGCAATGTACGTCTAGACTTGAGGTTCCTCAAACATGGGTTTATCACAAGTATGATAGGTAATGCTGACCTCAAAAGTCTTGAGAATTATTTAACCAAAACCAAATGCCAATAGATGCTTGATGGGCAAAAGGGGGAGAAAATGAGATGGTTTTGTCCCGTCCTTCTGAAATCTGAGTTTCTAAAGGGCTTTTCAAGTATAGAGTGGAGTTAAGGTATTTACCAAAATCTGAGTTGAAGCCATTAAAAGAAAACATTACTTAATTTCCAATATTTTTTTTTCTTTTAGACCTTCTGTCTTCACCTCTTGATTACACATACAAACAACACCTATGCTTTTGAGGACTCGACATTTAGAATTATTCAAAAGAACATACAGCATGCACTGCTGCTGTGTATTTTTACAATAGAGATGGCTTGTTTTCTACTTAGTCTAGTATAAATTGTTTCTTAAGTCAGCTTGACAAGTATTGGCTGTGTCTGTCATGTGCAGTATACATATAAAAACACACAGCTGCAAAGTCCAAGATATTTTTACTTTCTCTTTAAAAATCTGAACTGAACCTTTTGTCAGATTAGATGAGGTCATGGAGTTATAAATCCTCAAACTGTTTTGCTATAGTGCTACTGTACTTTACGATTTTAAATAAAACAAGGCTGTTCCTAAATATTTATTGTCCACTGAATTCTGAAAAAAATTACAGAGACTGAGAAGATTAGTTTTGGAATCTTAATCACAATGTTGAACCCTTTGAGATTTATATATTAACCATGCTGAAAGACTTGGGATTTTTTCTAAGCTTTAGGATAGATCTACAAATGATGCTAGCTGGTAGGTTTTTTCATCAATCAGTACTTTTCCCAGTTGGTTGATTGATAATTAAAGTTTATTTAATTACCTGGTTTTAAAATACGTCTGTGAGCTTGAAGATGTACAAAGTCTCTTAATCAGTCCTTAAATATTGGGTTTTTAAATCTAATAGATTGAAATCCCTGAATTGTACAGCATATATTCTTAAAATTATCTCACTAGTAACCAAAACAAGAAAAGGAATGAGAAAACAAATCTATTTCAGATCTTCACAATTCATGCTTTGGAAATGTGAGTAGGTTGGGATCTAGGGCTGTGCTGGACATTGGACCTCCTTTCTTCCAATTTTGTTTGGGACAGTGCTGGTTTATTTTACATGATGCTTCTAATTTTAGTGGAAGGGCATCTGGTATGCAAAATGTCAGTTATTCAGACTTGTTCCATGCAATACTAGTAGTACAGTGTGATTTAAAAAACTAAATTGGCAGTTCTGGCTGTTCCATAGGCAAGAAATACAATTCACTATCTATGTAAGCTTTACTTCTAATGAGTAACATTTGTTGAAATGTGATCAGGATAAGCTGAAGTAAAATTCAGCATAAAGCTTTTTTGTATAATATGTTTCTTGTTTTCCAACTTAATATCTAATTCTGTGTTTCTTTAATACTATATGTATTTAAGCGTTGTTACTGGTGTCAAGTTTTACTTGCAATATACATATTTTACCAAACTAGCACTTTTGAAGTTACAGCAAAGTTATTTAGAATAGAAGTATTTATATTTCAATTTTTCTATCTCTTTTAATGTAGTTGACTGTACTTAAACCACTTTATAAATAGCATCATAGACCTATAAGAATTACACATGCATAAACTAATGATCTCCCCAGAATGAATAAATGCTCCATTTAAATGTGTAGGCTTGACTCTTAGGAACAGACAGACAGGAGAGAACTCGCATGTTGTCAGCTTCTGTAATAGTATTATTGCAAGTGCCTAGTCATGCATCAAAATACTGCTGTGTTTGGCACAAGTCCTTTAAAAACAAAAAGAATTCCAGTTCTAAAATGTTTACAACTGAGTGTAGGACAAAAGTCAGCAAATCTCCAGCCTATTTGTAATTGATGGCAAGGCCATAGTTGGAACAGCTATGAAATCTTACTACATTCCTAGAGCTAAAAATCTTTAGTGATATTTGTCAGCATAGAGTATTTAATACAAGTGCATTTAATCCCGTTTAATTTGAATCTTATCTTAATTTATTAGTCTGGTCCTACATTTTTCAGTTCATAAAAAAATCAAAGAAAGTAACAAAACACCTCTCTGGGGGAAAAAAAACTCTGAAACTCACCAGGCCTGTAAAGCTTAGAAATAGGAGTTTGTTCTTTATAATCTTTCTTCCTAAATGTTGCTCTCTCTCACACCCTGCCCCCGTAACAACTGTATCCACATTCCTGGAGGTTTCTTAGACAGCAACAAAATCCTTGGAGATGCTGTTTTTATTGTACTTCCATCTTAGGACTTTCACATACCAGACTTTTCCAAGAAATGTTGAATAGTTACCAGAGCACACCCTTCTTTCTTGAGATTTTCTGACAAGTCAAGTGGTTGGTATGAAAATTTAACTACCAACCTCTTTGCATTAATCCAGCATCAGCTGAAAACCTTCAGTAGAGTCAAAAGAATTCCACTATTGTTCCTTGTGTTCATACTTAGCAAAACTATGTAATCTTCTTACAGTTATTTCTCTTCTTCCTGGTGCAGGTGGAAGTGAAGCCATATGTGCTGGATGACCAGATGTGTGATGAATGCCAGGGCACTCGCTGTGGTGGAAAATTTGCTCCATTCTTTTGTGCCAATGTTACCTGTTTGCAGTATTACTGTGAATACTGCTGGGCAAGCATACACTCTCGTGCTGGGCGGGAGTTCCACAAACCACTGGTAAAGGAGGGAGGTGACCGGCCCCGCCATGTCCCGTTCCGCTGGAGCTGAACCCCAGGCCTCACCCAGCAACAAGTACTGGAGTAGATAAAATCGAATGAAAAGAGAGCGCTGCCTCAGGGCTTAGTGTTCTGGAAATCTGTGCATTCGTCCTCGACTTTAATGAAGATATGGGTCTTTTTATTATTATTATTATTTACAGTCACATTACTGAACTCAGTGTCCAGTATAATACAAACCGGCAGAGTGTAACTGTACTGATTTTGCACTTTGATTCACACAAACATCTGCTTGGTACCTTAATTTCCTACACAAGACTTGTCACTAGTGACATTATGTAGACTGCCATTCTCATCAGCCTTCACTGGGTTGATGTGTATGTGATGAAGATTTTTTTATTATAATTATTTTTATTTTTAAACTGGAGCATGCACTTATTTTCAGAAATTTAGACTTGCCCCTAGCAGATGACTTACCAAAGGTAATATTCACAAGTAGGTGGCAGATGTAGCAAAAACTTAAACAGATATTCAGCAATCATTAGTTTGGGTCATTTAGAGTAGTAATAACCCTTAAAGAAAATAAGCCTTTAGTTGCTCTCCATTTTGACTTGTAAGGATGATACCTCATAAGCTGGATCAGACTTTTTTTCTTTTATTTTGCCGAGGTTTTGTTTTGTTTTGTTTTTGTTTTTGTTAGGTCTTTTAGTGTTATGTAAATGTATGCTGCAATAGCTTTTGCTGCTATTAAAATGGTATTACTAATACCATAATACTCTATTCAGGCTAGGGTATCAATTAAAAAATGAATATGTGATTAAAATAGTGATGGCTGCTGAAAGGAGATCAGTATAGCATACAGAAAAGCTTCCAAGGAAGGTCAATATTTTTGACTGCATGTTTACTTAATCAGGTTGCTGCATGCAATAAATTTTATATATGTCTAATGTAAAACCTGCCCACAATGCACAAATTATGAATCTACATAGGCTACAAAATACTCAGTAACAAAAAAAAAAAAATTGATTACTGACTGGAGGAAGGCATGCCTCAGTAAATGTAATGCTTCTGAAATTAGGATCAGCCCATTACAGAGTGACCTATATTACAACAAATATAAAAACTAGCTGTAGGATATTCTTAAAACAAATTTGTGGATGGTAGATGAAGTACTTTGCGGTGCTCTGTTATATATCGTGCAATTTATTTTATATAGTAAAGTGATTATGTCTAGTACTGTGATCAAACTTAACTGTTAAAGCCTCTGTATCCAACATTAACACATTTTTGACAGTTCATAACAGGTACATAAACAGAAATGAGCTCTTAGTTACAATCTCTCTCCTAATGCTTGCATCATTTACGTAGCTGCAGACCGTGTCCAGAAAACCAAAGAGCTCATGCTAGCGTACATACACTACCGATTAGATAGTCTGTCAAACTAATAAACTAGGCACATTGAAGAAAGTTAGGAAGAAAAGCGGTGCTAAAGAAATGTCTGCATATACAAGTAACATGAGATGTCTGCTCTGTGGATGTGGCGTTATCTCTAATCCCTGGATGTATCCTGTGAAGCTTGAATACAATTAAGACCTGCTAACACGGTGGACATTTTTTTAGCATGAACTATGGGGCTGCAGATAGCATATAAATATAAACACACTTGGTATACTAATGATTGTGAGAATGTGTACACTATTTTTTTCTTTCCTCCTTTGTTTTTGCAGTTCTGGGGACAATCTGACTGGATATGACACCGCATAGTAGATTTAAATGTTCTGGGTTTTGTTTGTCGTGATGTCTTTGTTTGTGTCTAATTTAGTAAGTTGCTTTTCCCAATGTTTAGTTGCGAGTATTGGCTTTGAAAGGATTTTTTTTTCTGTTTTTGGAAAAAAAAAAAGAAAAAAATAGTTTTTTACTGGTTTAAAATGCTTATTATAATTATCCCTTTTGAAGTTACTTCTGGGCTTTTTTGTGATATTGCTTTTCCCAGCCCAGGTGTCTTTTCTGTTTTTTTTCTTCATCTGTACAAGACATTTTGTTATGCACTACTTTTTGTATCTAGACAGTTTTCAACAGTCGTCTGATGATTTTTTTTAAAGAAAAAGGCATGCTTTCTGACTGACATGATCTTTTGCAATACCTCAATTTTGAAATATAGGAAAGAAAATGATATTTTCTAAGTAAGTTTATTCAGAAAAATATATATTAATTTAATTCTGCAAGAAAAATGATTTAACAGATGGGTAACTTTATTTTTTTCATGCTTATTTGAGTTTTTTTGAAAATGAAGAAGTTAGAGCTTTATAACTGTAATATTAAAAATCATAGCTAACCTACAGAAATCTACCTAATTATGTGAAAGAAGTAAACCTTTTTGAAGAAATACCCCTCTTTCATGTCGAAAAATACCCCCAGAGAGAAAGAGAGAGAGAGAGAAGCTGGAAAATGTACAATATAGCGTAAGGTTGGATTAAATCAAATAAAGCAAAATCATCATAAAGAACAGGTGTAAACACAAACTCTATTTGGTGCTGAAAGTTGTGAATAGAAGGTAAAAAAAAATATTTTCCCTTAATTTGTATATTTATAATCAAGTGTGATTATGCACGACTGACCAGAATTGTGAGAGTTCTTCTGTTTGTATTTTTTTAAAGAGAACTTTTTTTAGTTTATTAAATTATGACATGCTCCCTTTTGTTTTGTAAATGAATGTGCCCCTGAGTTGTTAATATGTTATATTAAAAGAGGGTCCTTCAAAAAAAGTTATTTTTTAAAATATGGAGTTCTGAACTGCAACTTGACTAAGAAGCCCCTGGGTACAACAGGTCCTATTGTGGCCTTTTCTGATGTGAGACTTGAACTAGTCGATTTTTTTGAAGGCTAACCTAACCTCGACTATTTGTTGTTATGTGCAATACTGTTTGTACTGTTTGTATAAAAAAAAAGAAAAATGAAAAGAAAAAAGGCATAAATCTTTATTGCAGATTTATTTTCATTGCAGACTTTAGACATTGTGATTCACTAAAATCATTTTTCTACTGTCAAATATGTACCTTTTCTTCATGCTGGTATTTTTTCAATAGTAATGTAGCCTTTGTACTGAGACAAATTTTCATTGTTATTTTTAGAAAGATTTTTTGCTAAGAAAAAAATTAAACATATTTACATATTTTTCATTTTTATTTCGTATTTTCTTTAAGGAGTGCTTTCTCAACCATTAATATAGTTGTTTCTGGGAGAGACTTTCATATCTGGTCAATGTCATTAATATTATTTTGTATTTTTACTTGGAATAAATTAATTTTATGATGCTAATTCTTTAAAAGTTTATTTTTTTCATTTTCAGTTATTTTTGAAGCTAAAATCTTTGTAATATTGTTACTAAAGTGTCTAGTTTTTTGAAATGCAAAGCTTTATGTATTAACTTGCTGATGTGGTTTACAATAGTGTGGCAATGATGAAAACGGTTGGTTATGTAAAGTGATTGGAAAATTGTAACAAAGAATTGGGCAATAAAATGACAGAATGAAGCAGAAAAAATGTGATATTTTGAAAAGCCTTTTCCTTTATCAAAATGATTTAGGGAGATAATAGGGATGTCACAGTACCAGTTCGCTGTCTAGATTTATACACCACCAGTGTTGATGAAATACTGTTGCTGTTACAATGAACTAAATCTATTGAAACAATGGGTTTTTGACCCTGCCCATTCAGCATAATGCTCCATTACTTTTCTCGTCATGAACTCAATAAACTCTCTTGTCAATAATCTTAGATCAAACCTCCTAAAATATATATTCTTCATTGTATTTTGCCACCATGTTATTTATTTAATTAAATTGACCCCTTCCTGCACAGCTTCCTTCCTGCATACGTTTACGAGTGGCAGCATGGAGCAGACTGTAGGTACCCACCTCATTTTCTAACAAAGTTACCACGTAGTGTTGGTAGCTGCCTATTTAATGCAAAATAATGTATGTCCATTTCCTGGTAGCAATGCAGTAACCCATATTGCCACTGTGTCTGAACATCTGTTCAGCTTCTGTGTCTTTCTCCGTTCTTCTCTGCCTCTCTTGTGTCTTTGTCCTTTTTTTCTTTTGTATTGGCAATACCAATTGCCAGTATCAAAACACCTTGCACTTCACCTCCATTTACATCACCTTGGTTTCCTTATGCAGCCAGAAGAAACCCCTCCCTGAAGCCAGTAACTCTCTGTTCTGGCACCGAAAACAATCCAGACTAAAACTGGTGTTGCGTAAACAGGGCATACGATGACTTTCTCTAGACAAAACAATTACTTCAACGAGTTATTGATGACCTTTTAGACTAACTCACACCAGAGTGTTAGTGGGTCATCTGTAACTTGCAGAAGGAAATGTGTCCAGAGTTGGTCTGTTGTGTATCCTCTGTGTGTTCAGTTCTGTAAGTAATGTATAGACTAGATCAAATAGTGAAGTAAAATTTAGACTCAAATTAGGTACTACTGGTTGGAATGTACGCAAATTGCAAACAAAGGAGATTAAGGAATGAAGAAGGAATAAAAAAATTCCTGCTAAGTGGTACAAAGTTTATGCTTATATTTCTGCCTACATGCTTGTATTTTATAGCCTGCTAGCAAGGCATGGGCTAAAAAAAATTGTATTGCAAATATGCAGTTAGCAAATAACTTTGCTGATTTCACTATCTGTTAGAGTAGTAAAAAAAGAAAAAAAAAAAAAAGAAAAAAAAAAGGCGCTTAACTGGGAAAAGCTCCCATGTTAATATTTCAGTATTGTGACATCTCTACTTGCAAGGTATGAGTGAAAGATTAGTCACAGATTTGTAGAAATGTCTCTTTTTGTTTAATCTGGCTTGTATGTAGTTGCTTTTATGCTAGTTTGTATGATGTCAGCTAAACCCTTTTTCTTTTCCTTCCTTCCTTCCTTCCTTTCTTTTTTTTTTTAACCAGACAAACTTCTTAATCTCTGCTGCTATAGTGTTTTAACATACCACAGAGTATTTTATATTCATGTTAGTGACTACTCTATACCCCAAATGGGTAACTAACTGGTCAGAAGTCACGTTGGTCACATTATTCTGACACACTCAAATTTACATGAGAAAAAGTTTAGCAGTAAGTAGAAAACCAGGGTGCTAATAAGAGATAATTTTGGCTCTTTTTTTTCTTTTTCTTTTTTTTTTTCTTTTTTTTTTTTCTTCCTGGATGTAATTCTGTTGGGGTATAAAGTATTAGATATTTGTAATTTTACTGTCAAAAATAATGGACATAACTTTTAGAGCATTCACAGCTAAGATCTCTGTACTTGTTTTTCAACTAATTTTAAATGTACTGTATCTTTTATTACATGTTCTCTTAGATTGTTTTTGCTAGTAATTCTAACACAGCTTCTTCCTTTTTGGCTTGGACTAATGCTTGTATGGAACTGCAGTACTGTGACTAAACATGGAGCTCAATGCTGCTATTGCTTACAACTGCTTAAACTTTGTAGTTTGGACTTTATTTTTTTTCTGTAATAACTTATTAAATATAGTTGTATGAAGTACTGATATTTGTCATCCTTTGCATGTGCTAAGGAAATCCTGGGATATGAATTATGGGAATGTAAACTAGGTACAAACCCCCCCAGATCTTGTATTGGAAAACTGTTTACACTAGATGAGGTTAAGCAAATACACCCCTCACATGCACACAACTCTCTTTTCTAGTTATTTTATAATACAAGTATATGCTCCAAAATACACCCCTCACATGCACACAACTCTAGTTATTTTATAATACAAGTATATGCTCCGCTTATGTTTTCTCTCTAAAATGGAAAAGCCACCCTTGATAAGGTGCATTTATTATGCTAATCTGAAGGTAAATACAAAAATATATACTTTGGAAATATTTCTGAGAATGTAGTTTTCCCCACCAAATACAATATCAAGTGCCTTAAAAAAAAAAAAAAAACAACAACAAAAAAAACTATGGAATTACTTTCTCTGAATTTAACAAAAATTGCTCTCTAACTTATATTACACTTTTTTATTAGCAGTTTAACAATGGCTGCTGGCTAGAGATTAAATTGATCAGTTAAAATATAAAAAACACTACAACACTAGTTTCTAATGGTTCTATTTTAAGAATAGAAGACAGTTAAAGCTCAGAGATATAGCTGTTTGGAACTCTACACAGAACTTCACTGGAAAAGTGTGAATTCTGCTGTCTGTCAGGGCAAGTGATGACCACGAGAATAGTGCATGTTCTATGTCACTGCCTTCTTTCAGTGTCTACATAAATGCAGATCAACAGCTCTGCTGTAACTATCAGCACTAGAAATTACAGGCTGACTTCAATGTATGTGTTCTGCTTAAAGAGGAACTGCCTAGGATTACACTAGAAATTAAATGCCCTTTGGAAACTCCATGAAAAACTGGTGAGGTTATGTGTGCTGAGTATTGTGCACTCTCCCTTAGTGCGCAGAGCCCTGTGGCTTATGTTATGGTATCCTGCCATTACCAATGGTGTGCAGTTGGCTTATACACATGAAAGAGGAAAGCCTGGATGCCAGAAAACAAACAGAATGCTCAGGCAAGAGCTTGTTTTCAAACTGGCAGTGAATAACCCCAACTGTCAGGAGAATTGTCTACTGTTCTTCCAGGAGAAGTGGTTTTAGAAGACAGTGATCTGTAATAGGAAGTCTAGTAGTAAATAAATGTATGAGAACCTGCAGGCTCCTGGTTACTTCAGAGCTAAATTTGAGAAAGGAGGTCTTGTAAACACTCTCCAATTAATGAATGTTAAACTGCTTATTGTAGCCTCTCTCCACAGAGTGGGCCAAGTCCATCTGGACAAAATCAGTCTGGGTTTACCCTTGTCCTCCATTACAGAGAACAATTGTGTGAGGAAATATAGTCTCCCGGGAACTTCTAATCCCCAATCCTTCCATTGCTGCATTACTGATAATGTGAGCCATGCCACTCGTAAGGTACCGATACTGACAATTTCCTTTCTCCAGCTGATAACAGCACTTTACTCAGTCTTTGTTTGCATTAGAAAAAGGTTGTACTAATTTAATTTAAACCAATGCACTTATAG